TGTATGAGTGTATTGCCTGCATGTATGTGAGTGCATCCATGATGTGCAATGCTGCGGAGGTCAGAAGAGGGCATCGGATTCCCCTGCAACTGGAGTTAAGGATGGTTTGTAGCCGCCTTGTGGTTGCTGGGAATCGAACCCGGGTCAACCACAAGAGCAGTCAGTGCTCTTAATCTTTGAGCCATCTCTCCAGCCCCCAAAATATTTTTATTAAACAAAATCAAATAGCACATTAACATTAAGTGAAGGAACATATACAATCCCTATAATTTAATATTTTCAAGGGCATTGATACCTGAATCAGCAGTAACCTGCACACATCATAATATTCCTTACACATTGTGGTATATGGTTCATGCTCAGTAACTTTGTTAATTTAATTGGGAATTGTGCCTCAGTGTATTTGGAAATTAAATACATGATAAGTTTGTATTAGATTTCATCATAAAAGCTTAAATATATGAATAAAAACTGGAAATGTAACAATCTCGTGTAAGATCATACTAGTCCTCCCACTAACATACTGCAAAAAGAGTAAGTAAAGAATTCTGTGAAGACCAACTCTGCATTTTGAAGGAACATCAAAAGCTATGAGTAGGGTTCATGAGCAGAACGCAGGAAGAAACTCAGACAGAAGAAGAGAGACACACTTCACAGAACAAAATTTTAAACTTTTGTGCCTCAAATATAAGTCCAAAGTAAACAGAACAATCCTAAACTGAAAAATATCCCTGAAACATTGCTGGAGCCGGTTAAAAATAAGCAAATTAAACTGGTCTTCCATCTCAGAAATAAGGAATATCCTTACTTAGCTGCATGGCCCTCCTCAGTTAAGGAAATACTTCTCTTTACCAAAATGTTTATTAAGAAGCTCCTTAGACAGGGCTCCACTGAGACTGAACTCCTCCTCTCAGTCCCTCTCATATCTGGCTGCCGCCGCCATCACTTCATTGTCAAAAGCCAACCTTGCATTCTGGAATTCAGTGCTAGCGTCTCTATTCAGAACACAAGCTAAATTAATCAATGAATTAATGCATGTATCAACGATTATTCAAATAAGTCAGCAAGCAGCCACAGCCAACTCTAAGTTCTAGGCCAGGTTGGATTGGCTCTCAGGTGACCTTAGCTGAGTGTTCTAGCATTTGATATCTCAGAACCTTTCCTGCTATACCTCTGAGCCCTTGGACTCACCTGCGTAGGGCTTCTGACCCTAACTGGAAATCCTATTTTTCCCTTGGATGGTTGAATAAAGGACTCAAGATAGGTTCCAGACACGACAGGAGGATGAGGTCAAGCATCTGTTACCAACACAGATGGAGACTTAAAGGGAGCAAGCATGTCCTACCCACAACAATGTTGCACCTGCTGAGACAAAGGCAGGGGAGGTATTTAAATCTGTACCTCTGTGCATTATGTATATTTCCCTCTTGTGTTTTCCAACCCTGACTACATCATTTCCCTATGGACTTTGCTCTGAATTGAAAAGCTTATTTTCGTGTATTTGTTCCCAAGACTCCTGATTAAATTTCAGGTAAATCAGACTTGATTCATTGAACTCTGTGAACTCTTCAGCCCTCCAAACATCTATCCTACTTACAGCCTACAACTCTGGCTGAAAGCTTTCTCCAATGCCTAAGATGGATGGTCTTATACTGAATAAGTCTCATGAGTCACCCAAATTCTTGAGTTACTTTTGAATTTACAGCCCCTAATATCTCCAGGAATTTTGTTAATGTCTTCTACAATGGAGTGATCTGTGATCTTTTGATTTCAAACTATGATCACTACAATCTTTGGCTTCAATTGTCCTTTCCAAAAGCAGTTGTAATTTCATAATATTTTGGTGAAGGAAGTGGTGTATTAGAAACACCCAGCACTTTTTATTATTTACACAAAGCAGAAACAGAACTGGTGAATTGGGTGAAGAGACAAGTTTATGGCATGGAAACATGTGGGGTGGCCAGAGTTATCTCTCAAAGTGTTGATGAAATGAAACATTCCAAAATATTCAGAAATTAAAGCAATTCATCACCCTAAAGTAGATATCACTGAAGATATTTAAAGAAACCTTACACAAATATAGAGATGAAAGGACACATTTCATAAGAAATAGATGAAAAAAAGGCAATTAGAAAAGAATCAGACATGTTGAACTCAATAAAGTGTAAATGCCCAAGATTAGTAAGAGAGAAAGAAAAACAGCATTCAAATCAACCAACATAATTATAAGAATGAGTACATATTTCAATAATTACCCTACATAGATGTGGTCTTAACTCTGCAACTAGAAGATGCATTCTGCTGATTGGAGGCAATGAAATATGAAACCAATTGTTTTCTGCAATAAACATATCACACCAGTAAAGACACAAACAGGCTGAAAATAAATGAATGTAATATATACATATATATCAAGTATATGATATGTATGTTGCTCTAGTTTTCTTTGAATTGCAGTGACAAAACACTCTGGCCAATACGAACTTGGGGAGGAAGTGGTTTATTTAACTCACATTTCCTGGGTCACATTGCATCACTGAGAGAACCCATGATAGGAATTCAAGGCAGGAACCTGGAAGCAGGAGCTGAAGCCCAGGCCATGGAGGAACGCTGCTTACTGGTTTGCTCCCTTGGCCCATTCTCAGCCTGCTTTTTAATAGAATACAGAACAACCTGCCCAGGGTGGCACCACCCACAGTGGGCTGGGCCCTCACACATCACTCAAAAATCAAGAAGATGCCCCATAGACATGGCCATAGGCCAGTCCAATGGAAGAAATTCTCCAGTTGTGGCTTCTTCTA